CTGAACTCGAAATGCTGGTCAAATTACGTGACTCTCAACAACTAAATCAATGCTATGCTTATGGTTTAACGTCCTTCCGATCCGCAAACAGTCACCATTGGTTGTTCAGTTTTTGTTGCTTTGTACAAGACCAAACTGAACGTATAAAATATCGACTTAAGAATCTGAATTCAGTATTAATATATCTGGAATGTTTTCCTTGTGTTAAATCGTTGCCACTAATTTTACCGAAAAAAAAAATTGATTCATATAACAGTGTCATTTTCAAAGATTTTACTATATTGCTTGTAAAATCCAAGAATTTTTTAATACCTATCTGAATTTATAAGCGGAGGAGGAGTCATAATTATTGATATTATATACACTCAGATCCGTTTTCTCATCTTTGTTTATACTATCACACATTTTGTCTGTTGTGTTCGCCAGCCTTATTTAGGTAACCTTAAGGAAATTTCGAATTGATCCCTTTATTTAATATCCGGGGATATTGTTCATATTTATTTCCTGAAGATTACCCGGATTAACGGACACATGAAAGAGGCCGTAGGGCACAACGGCCGAAAAAAGTGTGATAAAAACAACAAAGATGAAGTCATTAATCCAAATGCATTATTTAAATAGCATAATTTCAGTATTTGTTAGAACTGAACTGTTTTCTTTGTTTCTAACGAATTATTTTCCATTTCTTATTACTTTGCTTAGGTTTTAGATTGCTTCTTTCGCTAGTCCAAAACCTGTTTGGATCAGGGTGTCACTTTTTCCATCCACTGTTCAAACGATTACCAGATATTTGAACTTCTGCATTTATTTGATGTTTATATATACAATTCTCACATCCTGGGCTTTTTCTCTTGTCGATGAACATAGTGTCCGTCTTCTTGTAGTTGATGGTTAGTCTTCATTTCTCGCTTTCTCTACCACCTTCTATAAGTCCTGTAGTTTCCTTTCTGAGTCGGCTATCAACACGGTTTCATATGCCTATCTTATATTGTTAAGATGACGCCTACCGGAAATAAATGCTGGTAGGGTCTCCCCAGTTCCCTTAGGGTGGCGTCGCTGTAGATGTTGAATAAATCCAGGAAGAAGACACACATTTGTCTCACGCTACTTTCTATTTTTGTCTATCTACTCAATTCATTTTTTATCCGTATGCAAGACGTTTGCTTCCAATATACGTTGTGGATTATCTTTTCCACATAGAGTGAGTTTACCCAGCAGTTCTAATAGATCTTTTACCGTAATTTGTCAAATGATTTTGTGCCATCGATAAAATATAAGTTCAAATCCTTCTGCACCTGTATTGTTCTTTGTTATATCATTCTGATCATGAATATCGCATTTCTTTTTCCGGTGTCCTTGGAAAAGTCGGAATGTTCCTGTCCTGTTTCCGGTTTAATTCCGCTTCGCACTCTATTCCTCAGGATCCGCAATATTAGTTTGGTTATTTGGCATATTAAACTGACTGTCCTATGATGTTCGTATAATTTTGCACCTGGTCTTTTAGGTAGTGTTACGAAGCTGGGTTTGGTGAGGTCCTACTGTATGTTGCCACTGTGGTATATTTTGTTTATTACTTCTATGATCTTGTCGATAACGAAGTCATCTAAGGCTGGGAGACTTTCTGTTATGATCCCGTCATGCCTTGCGGCTTTGTTCCTGTTCATCTTCTCCAGTGATGATCTTCATTTTTAGTATTTCCGGTCCTCCTGTAAATTCCAGCATATTTATCTCGTTTGCATCGTGAAAAATTATTTGATTCACGTTTTGAATATTGTTTTAAATTTTTCTATTATCAGTGATCCTTCCTTTGATTTTATAGAGTCTGCTGGTTGCCTCACCTTTCGTCCTGTTAATTCATTTATTCTGTTGTGCATATTTGCCGTATTTGTGTTGGAGTTTCGCTCTATTTCTGTGCAGTTCTTGTTTATCCATCCCTCTTTATCCTGGCTACATTTGCTTTTAATTTCTTTGTTTAATGTTCGGTATTATTTTCTATTTCTTTGCGTTGCTTTTGCCAATTTTTCATTACCTCTATAATTTCTTCTGTTATCAATTTATTCCTTTCTTCTCTAGAGATGATCTCGTTCGCCGATGTCATTAGTGTTTCTCTCAGCATGTCCCACATCGATTTTGTATTCTACATCTGATTGTATTCACTTATAAATTTGTTTTTTGCATATCACTTTACAACTTGGGTCTTACACAAGTCTGTCATATTGCAGTTTAAGTGCTGTTTAATCTTCTTTAGTTCCCATAGTTTTACTCTGACGTAACGCACAACTGGAAGATGGCCGCTCACTCACTCGGCACTTGGGTATGATTTGATTAGGTTGCTCCTGGAATCAGTTGTCGGTGATTGCTTGATCGTCTGCTCTGCGCCACTCGACTCATTATTCACTGGGATCGTTTCGGGAAACTAGTCCAAATTCGACGAATATTTCGTCTCATCGTACTTTTTCAACTTACCATTCGCTTTTCCCCATGATGATAATGATCTCTTGGCATTCTCGAGATAATTGAAATATTAATCGATATACCATTCCATGTTATTTTCTTTATTCTTGAAAAATGGTAACAAAGATATTAAACACTATCAGATTGAATGATAAAAAAAAACAACTTGTTTTCATAGTTATTTATGAAATGGTTAATAATTTTGTATTTTTAATTAATCTTTGAATAGAAAAATATTTTCAAATTTATTTCTTTATAAAATATTAAATAAATCCTCATAAACGGTAAATAATAAATATCGCATTTACCTGGTTCACGTACTTTACAATCTTATAAATAAACATTGCCGAGGGAGTCAAAAGTGTATACAGTAATAGAGGTGTCAAAGGGTTAACCGCCGTTTTAACACCTCGTTTCTTGTGCGACCACGAAGGTAAAACACTAGCAATTATTTTATTTATCATTGAATACTCTTCCAAAAAGGTAAATAACATTTTATAATTATTTGATGTTTAGGGATTAAAATTAACATACTTTTGTTTTGTTATCTCAAAATTTATTTCATTGCCAGATCCCAGATTAAGTTTTGTCCAGACTGAATAGAAGGGGTATGTATTTTGGCCATGTCTTATTGAAAACTCAGGAAAATTTATGCTTACATGTGTGCTCGGGTATGCTTTTGGTCTACATTAAATGGCGCAAGTAAATATAAGTGATTCCCGCGCGATAAATACACACACACACACACACACACACACACACACACACACACACACACACACACACACACACACACACACACACACACAAAATTTTGTGTGGGATACAGAATTTTAACATAGCAATAAAAGAGGTTAGACTTATTTTATTACATTTCATGTTTAAAAAAAATGGAAGCGAAAAAGAAAACAAACACAAACGACCGTGTGCTGTGTGTATATTTGTGTGTGTGTCTGTGTGTGGGTGTCTGTGCGTGTGTGTGCGTATACGCGCATGTAAACACACACACAGATTTATGCTGAAGAGAGAATCAATCTTTTATATTATATAGCTCTTCTTTTGATTGATTGAGTGATTGATTCGTTTTTTACGGGTTATCAACCCTTTGCAGGATATTTAAAGTCAGAAAATATTTTTAATTTGTAAGAATTCTTTTGGAGACAATAATTTTTTTTATTGATAACTATATTACTAATTAAACCAAAGCTGGGGTGGACAAGAGATGAATTTGCCATTGTATTTGCGCCTAACTGAAATTGGAACTCGGCTCTCCGATTGACATTTATGACCCATTATCCATTACACCACTCGCACATCTAAGCTTACAGCACCTGATATTCCCAAGCTATCACCCATCTATGTACTGATCAAGCTCGATGTTTTTAACCCGGCTGGTCGACTGGGACTTCAGGGTAATCCGAGTGCACCCCTGCAGAGGGTAAAACCTACCCATCACACGAGGCGTCCTGCGTAAGACGATACACTACATCCAACAGCAAAGCTTCTGATCAGGGGTTTTTGAGGAGCGTGAAACCACATCTTAATCGTGTTCCCAGGTTCACCCTGAGCAAAAGTGGTAGCATCTGTTAGGGTCCCAGCTATGGGCAAATAGTTAACATCTAAACTGGGGTCAAAAAGCTATGAAGGTATAAAAATAAGTTTTAATACCAGCAATGAAAAATTATTACCAGCAATACATTTTTTAAAAATACCAACAATAAAAATCTTGTCGGCATTAAATAAACCATTGGGATTGATATGCTGTAGAACAAACCAAACCGTTCCTTAACTTCTTTCGGATAGACTGCTACTCACCTTAATGTAATGTTAATTCTGTTTACTAGTAGATTTTATAAACTGTTTGCTTTCTTTTTTTTATCAGTATTTCTAGCGCTGCCATTTAATCTGCACTTTGTCTCCTAAATTCATTTTCATCCTATCGTTGGTTCAATGTTTATTTTCTTCCGTCCATGGTTGCCATTTTGTTATTTTTAAATTCCTAAACGTCTTCATCATTTATTTTACTATTTTTATATCTTTATATATCTAATGATAAGCTACATTTTTCCCCACTTTCTGTCAAATTCTGTCGTTAACTGCCTGAAAACAATCCAGTCTCGCATCCGGCGTATCCGTAAGAAAACTCGTTACAAAAAATAACAACCAAGAAAAAGAAATCTGATAAGATAAGTGAACCTTACCACCAGTATCGTTGGTCATTGGTGATGTTGGCTGGAAATAAAGATGCTGTCTACTATGAAGCTCCGATACTAGATTCAGCGCTGAATGTTATAACGTACATAGCAACGCCTATAAGGAACTCAGAAAGAAGTATGACGAGAGATAAGTATATCGCTTGACGTACAAACGGGATTACTCCTCATTAGCCCCCCCACCCCATCTTTTTTACATGCTGTGGCTCTTCAGGACGTAGGCGATCATGGTTCTCCATTTCTTCCTGTCCGATGTAGTTGTCAACAAATTTTGTCTTTTCGTAAACTCTCCAAGACCCCATACTACCATCCAATTGCTTAAGTTTATTAACAATGTCAAGCGTTGTCGCTCTTTTCCCTCTATCTGCCCTGTGTCGCTCTTTTCCCTCTATCTGCCCTGTGTCGCTCTTTTCCCTCTATCTGCCCTGTGTCGCTCTTTTTTCCCTCTATCTGCCCTGTGTCGCTCTTTTCCCCTATCTGCCCTGTGTGGCTCTTTCCCCATCTGCCCTGTGTCCTCTATTTTTCCTCTATCTGCCCTGTGTCTTTCTTTCCCTCTATCTGCCCTGTGTCGCTCTTTTCCCCTATCTGCCCTGTGTCGCTCTTTTTCCTCTATCTGCCCTGTCGCTCTTTTTTTTCCCTCTATCTGCCCTGTGTCGATCTTTTTCCTCTATCTGCCCTGTCGCTCTTTTCCCTCTATCTGCCCTGTGTTTCTTTTCCCTCTATCTGCCCTGTGTCGCTTTTTTCCTCTATCTGCCCCTGTTCGATCTGCCCCCCTCTATCTGCCTTTTTCTTTCCCCCTATCTGCCCTGTGTCGCTCTTTTCCCTCTGCCTTGTGGCTGTCCATCTGCCTGTGTCTTTCCCTCTATCTGCCCTGTGTCGCTCTTTTTTCCCCATCTATCTGCCCTTTGTGCCCTGTGTCGCTTTCGCCCTGTGTCTTTTCCCCTATCTGTCGCTCCCCAGTATCTGCCCCCTGTTTTTTTCCCCTATCTGCCCTGTGTCGCTCTATCTGCCCTCCATCTTTTTCCCTCTATCTGCCCTGTGTCGCTCTTTCCCTCTAACTGCCCTGTCGCTCTTTTCCCTCTATCTGCCCTGTGTCGCTCTTTTCCCTCTATCTGCGCTGTGTCGCTCTTTTCCCTCTATCTGCCCTGTGTCGCTCTTTTCCCTCTATCTGCCCTGTGTCGCTTTTCTGCCCTGTGTCGCTCTTTCCCCTCTATCTGCCCTGTCGCTCTTTTTTTCCCCCTATCTGCCTTTTTCTGTGTCGCTCTTTCTGCCCTGTGTCGCTCTTTCCCCCTTTGCCCTGTCGCTCTTTTCCCTGCCCCTGTGTCGCTCTTTCTTTTCCCTATCTGCCTGTGTCGCTTTTTTTCCTCTATCTGCCCTGTCGCTCTTTTTCCCTCTATCTCGCCTATCTGCCCTGTCGCTCTTTCCCATGTGCCCTTTTCCCTGCATTTTCCTCTATCTGCCCTGTGTCGCTCTTTCCCTCTATCTGCCCTGTGTCGCTCTTTTCCCTCTATCTGCCCTGTGTCGCTCTTTTCTATCTGCCCCTTTTTCCCCCATCTGCCCCTGTGTCGCTCTTTTCCCCATCTGCCCTTGTGTCCTCTTTTTTCCCTCTATCTGCCCTGTGTCGTCGCTCTTTTCCCTCTATCTGCCCTGTGTCGCTTTTTCCCCCATCTGCCCTGTGTCGCTTTTTCCCCATCTGCCCCTGTGTCGCTCTTTTCCCCCATCTGCCCTGTGTCGCTTTTTCCTCTATATCTGTCCCTTTTTCCCCTGTCGCTCTTTTTCCCTCTATCTGCCCTGTGTCGCTCTTTCCCCTCTATCTGCCCTGTCGCTCTTTTTCCCTCTATTGCCCCCTCTTTTATCTGCCCTGTCCCTGTGTCTTTTTCCCTCTATCTGCCCTGTGTCGCTTTTTTTCCCCTATCTGCCCTGTGTCGCTCTTTTTTCCCCTATCTGCCCTGTGTCGTGCCCCAGGTGTCGCTTTTTCCCCTATCTGTGTCGCTCTTTTCCCTCTATCTGCCCTGTGTATTTTTTGCCATCTGTGTCGCTCTTTTTTCCCCCTATCTGCCCTGTGTCGCTTTTTTCCATCTGCCCTGTGTCGCTCTTTTCCCCTCTATCTGCCCTGTGTCGCTCTTTCCCTCTATCTGCCCTGTCGCTCTTTCCCCCATCTGCCCTGTGTCGCTTTTTCCTATCTGCCCTTCGCTCTTTTTCCCCTCTATCCCTCTTTTCCCCATCTGCCCCTGTGCTTTTTTCCCTCTATCTGCCCTGTCTTTTTCCATCTGCCCTGTGTCGCCTTTTTCCCCCATCTGTCCCTGTCGCTCTTTCCCTCTATCTGCCCCCTGTCGCTCTTTCCCTCTATCTGCCCTGTGTCGCTCTTTTTTCCCTGTGTCTTTTCCCCATCTGCCCTGTGTCGCTCTTTTCCCTCTATCTGCCCTGTGTCGCTTTTTTCTCTATCTGCCCTGTGTCGCGCTCTTTCTATCTGCCCTCTTTTCCCTCTATCTGCCCTGTCGCTCTTTCCCCCATCTGCCCTGTGTCGCTCTTTTCCCTATCTATCGCTTTTTTCCCTCTATCTGCCCTGTCGCCTTTTTTTCCCTCTATCTGCCCCTGTGTGTCGCTCTTTTCCTCTATCTGCCCTGTGTCGCTCTTTCCCTCTATCTGCCCTGTGTCGCTCTTTTTCTTCCCTCTATCTGCCCTGTGTCGCTCTTTTTCCCCTCTATCTGCCCTGTGTCGCTCTTTTCCCTCCATCTGCCCTGTGTCGCACTTTTCCCCCATCTGCCCTGTGTCTTTTCCTCTATCTGCCCTGTGTTTTTCCCTCTATCTGCCCTGTCTATCTGCCCTGTGTCGCTCTCTTTTGCCCCTCTATCTGCCCTGTGTCGCTCTTTTCCCTCTATCTGCCCTGTGTCGTTTTTTCCTCCATCTGTGTCGTCCCTTTCCCTATCTGTCGCTTTTTTCCCCATCTGCCCTGTCGCTCTTTTCCTCTATCCCTTTTTCCCTATCTGCCCTCTTTCCCTATCTGCCCTGTGTCGCTCTTTTTCATCTGCCCTGTGTCGCTCTTTTCCCTCTATCTGCCCTGTGTCGCTCTTTCCCTCTATCTGCCCTGTCGCTCTTTTCCCATCTATCTGGTGTCGCTCTTTTCCCCCTATCTGCCCTGTGTCGCTTTTCCTCTATCTTTCTGCCCCCTCGATTTTCCCTCATCTGCCCTGTGTCGCTCTTTTCCCTCTATCTGCCCTGTGTCGCTCTTTCCCTCTATCTGCCCTGTTTTCCCTCTATCTGCCCTGTCGCTCGCTCTATCTGCCCTTCGCTTTTTCCTCTATCTGCTGTGTCCTGTGTCCCTCTTTTTCGCCCCATCTGCCCCTGTGTCGCTCTTTTTCCCTCTATCTGCTGTGTCTTTTTCCTCTATCTGCCCTGTGTCGCTCTTTTTTTTTCCCTCTATCTGCCCTGTGTCGCTCTTTTCCTCTATCTGCCCTGTGTCGCTCTTTTCCCTCTATCTGCCCTGTGTCGCTCTTTTCGCTCCCTCTATCTGCCCTGTGTCGCTCTTCCCCTCTATCTCCCTCTATCTGCCCTGTGTCGCTCTTTTCTTTCCCCTATATCTCGTTTTTCCCTCCATCTGCCCTGTCATTCTTTTTCCCTCTATCTGCCCTGTGTCGCTTTTTTATCTGCCCTGTGTCGCTCTTTTTCTGTTTTTCCCCATCTGCCCTGTGTCTGCTCTTTTTCCCCATCTGCCCTGTGTCGCTCTTTTTCCCCTATCTGCCCTGTTTTCCCTTATCTGGCTCTTTTTTTCCCCCATCTGCCCTGTGTCGCTCTTTTCCCTCTATCTGCCCTGTGTCGCTCTTTTTTGCCCCCCATCTGCCCTGTGTCGCTCTTTTCCCCCATCTGCCCTGTGTCGCTCTTTCCCTCTATCTGCCCTGTGTCGCTCTTTTTTCCCTCTATCTCCTCCCTGTGTCGCTCTTTTCCCTCTATCTGCCCTGTGTCGCTCTTTTTCCCTCTATCTGCCCTGTGTCGCTCTTTTTTTTTTCCCTCATCTGCCCTGTGTCGCTCTTTTTCCCTCTATCTGCCCTGTCGCTCTTTCCCTCTATCTGCCCTGTGTCGCTCTTTTTCCCTCTATCTGCCCTGTCGCTCTTTCCCCCATCTTTGTCCTCCTCTATCCCATCTGCCCTGTGTCGTCTCTTTTTTTTTTCCCTTTCTGCCCTCTATCTTTTCCCTCTATCTGCCCTGTGTCGCTTTCCCCCATCTGCCCTGTGTCGCTCTTTTCATCTGCCCCTGTGTGTCCGCTCTATCTTGTCGCTCCCTCTATCTGCCCTGTGTCGCTTTTTTTCCCTGCCCCTGTGTCGCTCTTTTTTCCTATCTGCCCTGTTCCCATCTGCCCTGTGTCGCTCTTTTTCCATCTGCCCTGTCGCTCTTTTTTCTATCTGCCCTGTGTCGCTTTTTTCCCCTATCTGCCCTGTGTCACTTTTTTTTCCCCCATCTGCCCTGTCGCTCTTTTCCCTCTATCTGCCCTGTGTCGCTCTTTTTTTTTTGCCCTCTATCTGCCCTGTGTCGCTCTTTTTTTCCCTCCTGCCCTGTGTCGCTCTTCTTCCCCTATCTCCTGTGTCTTTTCCCTCTATCTGCCCTGTGTCGCTCTTTTCCCCCATCTGCCCTGTGTCGCTCTTTCCCCCATCTGCCCTGTGTCGCTCTTTTCCCTCCATCTGCCCTGTGTCGCTTTTCCCCCATCTGCCCCTGTCGCCCCTCTATCTGCCCCTGTGTCGCTCTTTTTTCCCCCCTATCTGCCCTGTGTCGCTCTTTTCCCTCTATCTGCCCTGTGTCGCTCTTTTCCCCTCTATCTGCCCTGTGTCGCTCTTTTCCCTCATCTGCCCTTGTCGCTCCTCTATCTATCTGCTTTCCCCATCTGTGTCGCTGTTTTTTCCCTCTATCTGCCCTGTGTCGCTTTTTCCCTATCTGTCTCTTTCCCCCTATCTGCCCTGTGTCGCTCTTTTCCCTCTATCTGCCCTGCTATCTGCCCTGTGTCGCTCTTTTCCCTCTATCTGCCCTGTCGCTCTTTCCCCTCTATCTGCCCTGTGTCGCATCTTTCCCTCTATCTGCCCTGTGTCGCTCTTTTCCCCCTATCTGCCCTGTGTCGCTCTTTCCCTCTATCTATCTGCCCTGTGTCGCTCTTTCCCCTATCTGCCCTGTGTCGCTTTTTTCCCTCTATCTGCCCTGTCGCTCTTTCCCTCTATCTGCCCTGTGTTTTTCCCTCTATCTGCCCCTGTCGCTCTTTTTCCCCCATCTGCCCTGTGTCGCTCTTTTTCCCCTATCTGCCCTGTCGCTCTTTTCCCCCTATCTGCCCTGTGTCGCTCTTTTCCCTATCTGCCCTGTGTCGCTCTTTTCCTCTATCTGTGTCGCTCTTTTCCCTCTATCTGCCCTGTGCTCTTTCCCCATCTGCCCTGTGTCGCTCTTTTCCCTCTATCTGCCCTGTGTCGCTCTTTTTTTTTTTTTTCCCTCCATCTGCCCCCCTTTTTTCCCCTCTATCTGCCCTGTGTGCCCTGTGTCGCTCTTTTTCCCTCTATCTGCCCTGTGTCGCTCTTTTCCTATCTGCCCTGTCGCTCTTTTTCCCTCTATCTGCCCTGTGTCGCTCTTTTCCCTCTATCTGCCCCTGTGTCGCTCTTTTCCCTCTATCTGCCCCTGTCGCTCTTTTTCCCCTCTATCTGCCCTGTGTCCTCTTTCCTCTATCTGCCCTGTCGCTCTTTTCCCCTATCTGCCCTGTGTCGCTCTTTTTTTTTTCCCTCTATCTGCCCTGTGTCGCTCTTTTCCCCCATCTGCCCTGTGTCGCTCTTTATCTGCCCCTGTGTCGCTCTTTTCCCCTATCTGCCCTGTGTCGCTCTTTCCCCTATCTGCCCTGTGTCCCTTTTCCCTCCCCTATCTGCCCTGTGTCGCTCTTTCCCTCCATCTGCCCTGTGTCGCTCTTTTCCCTCTATCTGCCCCCTGTCGCTTTTTCCCCCATCTGCCCTGTGTCGCTTTTTCCCCTCCATCTGCCCTGTGTCGCTCTTTTCCCCATCTGCCCTGTGTCGCTCTATCTGCCCCCAGTCGCTCTTTTTCCCCATCCGCCTGTGTGCTCTTTTCCCTCCATCTGCCCTGTGTCTTTCTTTCCCCATCTGCCCTGTGTCGCTCTTTTCCCTCTATCTGCCCTGTGTCGCTTTTTTCCCCATCTGCCCTGTGTCGTTCTTTTCCCCATCTGCCCTGTGTCGCTCTTTCCCTCTATCTGCCTGTGTCGCTTTTTTCCTCCATCTGCCCTGTGTCGCTTTTCCCTCTATCTGCCCTTGTGTCGCTTTTTTTTATCTGTCCCTTTCCTCCATCTGCCCTGGTCCCTTCCCCCTCCATCTGCCCTGTGTGGCTCTTTTCCCTCTATCTGCCCTGTGTCGCTCTTTCCCTCTATCTGCCCTGTGTCGCTCTTTCCCTCTATCTGCCCTGTCGCTCTTTTCCCTCTATCTGCCCTGTGTCGCTCTTTTCCCTCTATCTGCCCTGTGTCGCTCTTTTCCCTCTATCTGCCCTGTGTCGCTCTTTCCCTCTATCTGCCCTGTGTCGCTCTTTTCCCTCTATCTGCCCTGTGTCGCTCTTTTCCCTCTATCTGCCCTGTGTCGCTCTTTCCCTCTATCTGCCCTGTGTCGCTCTTTCCCTCTATCTGCCCTGTCCCTCTATCTGCCCTGTGTCGCTTTCCCCATCTGCCTGTGTGTCTTTTCCCTCTATCTGCCCTGTGTCTATCTGCCCCTGCCCTGTCGCTCTTTTCCCTCTATCTGCTATCCCTGTGTCTATCTGCCCTGTGTCGCTCTTTTCCCCCATCTGCCCTGTCGCTCTTTTTTCCCCTATCTGCCCTGTGTCGCTTCTTTTTTTTTCCCCTATCTCTGTGTCGCTCTTTCCCTCTATCTGCCCTGTCGCTCTTTTTCCCCTATCATCTTTTCCCTCTATCTGCCCTGTCGCTCTTTTCCCCCATCTGCCCTGTCGCTCTTTCCCTCTATCTGCCCTGTCGCTCTTTTCCCTCTATCTGCCCTGTTTTTTTTTCCCTCTATCTGCCCTGTGTCGCTCTTTTCCCTATCTGCCCTGTGTCTTTTTCCCTATCTGCCCTGTCGCTCTTTTCCCTCTCCATCTGCCCTGTGTCGCTTTTCCCTCTATCTGCCCTGTGTCGCTCCTTTCCCTCTATCTGCCCCTTTCGCCCTGTGTCGCCCTCTATCTGCCCTGTGTCGCTCTTTTTTTCCCCATCTGCCCTGTGTCGCTCTTCTGCCCCTATCTGCCCTGTGTCGCTCTTTCCCTCTATCTGCCCTGTGTCTTTTCCCTCTATCTGCCCTGTGTCGCTCTTTCCCCCATCTGCCCTGTGTCGCCTTTTTCCCCTCTATCTGCCCTGTGTCGCTCTTTTCCCTCTATCTGCCCTGTGTCGCTCTTTCCCTCTATCTGCCCTGTGTCGCTCTTTTCCCTCTATCTGCCCTGTGTCGCTCTTTCCCTCTATCTGCCCTGTCGCTCTTTTCCCCCCCTGCCCTGTCGCTCTTTTCCCTCCATCTTTGTGTCGCTCTTTTCCCTCTATCTGCCCTGTGTCGCTATCTTTTTCCCTCTATCTGCCCTGTGTCGCTCTTTTCCCCTATCTGCCCTGTGTCGCTCTTTTTTCCCTCTATCTGCCTGTGTCGCTCTTTTCCCTATCTTCCCTGTGTCGCTCTTTTTCCCCCCATCTGCCCTGTGTCGCTCTTTTCTTTCCCTCTATCTGCCCTGTGTCGCTCTTTTCCCTCTATCTGCCCTGTGTCTGTGTCTTTTCCTCTATCTGCCCTGTGTCGCTTTTCCCTCCATCTGCCCTGTGTCGCTCTTTTCCCTCTATCTGCCCTGTGTCGCTCTTTCCCCTTTTATCTGCCCTGTGTCGCTCTATTTTTCCTGTCGCTCTTTTTTTCCCTCTATCTGCCCTGTGTCGTTTCTTTTTTTTTCTATCTGCCCTGTGTCGCTCTTTTCCCTCTATCTGCCCTGTGTCGCTCTTTTTCCTCTATTCTTTTTGTCCCCATCTGCCTCTGTGTCGCTCTTTCCTCTATCTGCCCTGCTCTTTTTTCCCCATCTGCCCTGTGTCGCTCTTTTCCCTCTATCTCTTTCTTTTCCTCCATCTGCCCTGTGTCGCTCTTTCTGCCCTGTCCTCTTTTCCCTATCTGCCCTGTGTCGCTCTTTCCCCATCTGCCCTGTGTCGCTCTTTTCCCTCTATCTGCCCTGTGTCGCTCTTTTTCCCTCTATCTGCCCTGTGTCGCTCTTTTCCTCTATGCCCTGTGTCGCTCTTTTCCCCTATCTGCCCTGTGTCGCTCTTTTCCCTCTATCTGCCCTGTGTCGCTCTTTTTTCCCTCTATCCCCTCCATCTGCCCTGTGTCGCTCTTTTTCTGTCGCCTCTATCTGCCCTGTGTCGCTTTTTTTCCCCTCTATCTGCCCTGTGTCTCTTTTTCCCTCTATCTGCCCTGTGTCGCTCTTTTCCCTCTATCTGCCTGTGCCCATCTGCCCTGTGTCGCTCTTTTTCCCTTTTCCCTATCTGCCCCTGTGTCCTTTTCCCTCTATCTGCCCTGTGTCGCTCTTTTTCCCTCTATCTGCCCTGTGTCGCTCTTTTTCCTCTATTGCCCTGTGTCGCTCTTTTCCTCTATCTGCCCTGTGCTCTTTTTCCCTCTATCTCCCTCTATCTGCCCTGTGTCGCTCTTTTTTTTCCCCCATCTGCCCTGTGTCGCTCTTTTTTCCCCATCTGCCCTGTGTCGCTCTTTTTTTCCCTCTATCTGCCCTTTCCCTCTATCTGTCCTCTTTTTTTTTTTTTCCCTCTATCTGCCCTGTCGCTCTTTTCCCTCTATCCGCCCTGTGCATATCAGATTTTCCAAGCCCTCTGTTCTCATTACGTGTCCCAGAAACTTCATCTGCCTCTATCCGATGTTAAATATTATTTTCCTCTTTGTTTGCATACTGTACAAAACCTCACCGTTGTTCACATGTCCGGTCCATAGTATCCTTAGCATCCTTCTGTAGAACCATACATCTGTTGCCTCGAGTCTCATCTTTGAGGAGGCCGTTCAAAATTCGCTGCCGTAAAGGAGGTCTGATATTACGTAGCAGTTCAGCACTCTTTTCTCTATTACGAAAGAAATCCTCCTGTCTCGTAATACTTTGCCTAACTTTTGGAATGTGTCTTTGCCCATCTCAATACGTCTTCAGCGTCGTCCTTACCGTCCTATGTCAAAACACTTCACAGATATTTAAATTTCCGCACCTGCTTTATTTTAGTGTTCCCAACATGTAAATCGCATCTGTCTATATTTCTGAGATGAGGTATTATGTAAATTATTTACATTATTCGGACTATTTTCCTCATCTTTGTCGCCATATTTATTACAACGTTTCGGACGTTGTACGCTCCTGCCTTCTTCAGGTGGTTGGAATGTCGAACTGAACCCTTTATTTCGCTCACTGGGGTAGACTCTTCTAGTTCCACTTGCCATGTTTAATGGATGCCAGTTATCAGTTATCTCCTGTAAATTTCTCTCTGAATGTTCTCCACTGCCTTAGCCGGGTATTGAACTCACACTCTTTGGGTCCTGTCACTCGATCTAACTAACGCCTTTATTCACTGTGCCATGTGCCCTTAAAAGTTTCAGTTCGACATTCCAACCACCTGAAGAAGGCCAGAGCGTACAACGGTCGAAATGTTGTAATAAATATGGCGACAAAGACGAGGACAATAGTCTGAATAATGTAAAAAATATAAATCACATTTTGGGCTCATCTTTTTTTCTGGTGATTCTTTTAGTTTATACTGAGGCCCTTCTCCTCGCTCACATTCTCTAGCTTCTGTAGGCGGTTTTGTGATTTCCTTTCCGTCTCTGCTATCAGCACTGTGTCATCTACATATCTTATATTGCTAAGATTGTGGCCGCCAATGATGAATCTTGATAGGATTTCCAGTTCACTCAGAAATGCATCGCTGTATAGGTTGAATAAGTCCGGCGAGAAGAAACATCCTTGCCTTACGCCCATTTCTGTTTTTCTATATTTTTATGCAGGTTGGTTTGCTGTCAGTAGAGGTTTTTGATTATTCTAATATCTTTCCCGAATATGTCAAGGTTGCTGTCAAGGTTGCTAACAGATCTTTGCGGCGTACATTGTTGCCACTTGGATAGATTTTGCACTGAACCATTGCATTTATCGTTTAGCCACTCTTTTTTGGCCTGCCTGTATTTGTTCCTTATTTCACTGTGTATTTTTCTGTATCTTGGCAGATGTTCACGTCTCCTTTGCATCATGTTGCGAATATCATCAGTGATCCATTCGTTTTTGGCATCTTTGGCCATTATTCTTTGTAAAGATATCGTTTACTGGTGTGCCTGAAACGTCCCATTTCGTGTTTCCCTTTCCATAGCATAGAAAAGATGAGGTTTCATACCTTTCCTAACCATATTAGCATGTAAGCGAATGCAATAGATTCGACTGAAATTCGAACTCGGCTCTCCGATTCCTCAGTCCGAGCCGCTATCCATTACTCCTGTCTGTTTACCCACTATTAAAATAATATGCACTTGAAACTAACACATTAATCTGACATGTCCGAAAATGTATCAAATTAAAAGGAAAGTAAGATAAATGCATTGGTTGATCTTGGGGTGTTTGCTTGTGGAAAAACGGACGAAAAGAAAAGCCAAAAGATTTTAAAACGCGCTTTGAGGTAAAAGAAGCGAAAGAAATGACATTTAAATATATTAAAGGAAGTTAAAATACTTCCCATTCAAGTTTTATCTTCAAAAATTAAAATGCAATTTCAATCGCTATATTCGTTGTACTTAATGCCTGTTCATTATTGTAATGCTTTCTTTTTCTCATATTCTTTCATAATCAGTACCCACCCACTGCGTCTCAGTGGCTTTGTTGCCTTGCTTGGGATGAAATGATTAAAAAATATGAGTGAAAACATTTTAGAGGAGTAGAAGGAAGATTCGGATGATGGGAATAGGAGAAGCACTTTGAGGAAAACATAATGAGCAATTGAAGAGGAAACAAAGGAGAAGAAGAGATGTGAACGAAATTAGGAATGAGCAATCAAAATGGAGGACATTTTAATAAAATATATAAAAGAGTTTCAGAAAAGTTGTAAAATCTATCAGACATGAAAATAAAAAGCAAGAAAACCAGAAGTAGGAGATAATAAACTAGGAAATGCTAAATTCAAATAACAATGCCATATCTTAAACTAAAACCTCACCGAGTACCAACGAACGAAAAGGAAGGCAACAACGATGAAATATTGTTATATACTAAATTTATGTCTATATTTCTGAAGTGGGGTATTTTAATTATTTACATCATTTCCATTGTTCGGATTGTTGTCCTCATCTTTATTGTCATATTCACGACGTTTCGGTCGTTGTATTCTCCGGCTTTCTTCAGTTGATTTTAGTTTGAAGTGAACCCTTTATTTCCTCCACCAGGGTAGACTGTTCTTTTTCCACGTGCCATGCCTCTTACGGATGTCACAATTTTCTCCCTTTAACTCAAGTCTCCATTTTTTTTTTCACCACTGCAGTAGACAGGTACTGAACTCAGAACTCTTTGGTTCAAGTCACTGGATCCAATCAACGCCTTTATCCTCTGGGTCATGTCTCCTCGAGTAGTGTAAATATCTTCAGCGATTAAATTCATTCATTTCTTTATTTTTTCTAATTGTTAATAAATTTATTACTTGCTGGTTATTTAAATTCAATGCCTTGTGTTTATTTTTTTTTATTTATATGAGTCTGCCAAATATTAATAGCAAGTCAAATAATACGAGGAGTCGTAAAACGATATTTTTTTCTGTTTTGAAACAGGTTACAATGTCCTTTTTTAAGTGATAAATTAATTAATAACATTCAACTTTAATATTCATATTTTATCAGTATCATTTGATTAACTAGCATATTTTACCAGTCATTCATATAGTCGGACGTAGCGAAGAATATAAAAGGCTAGATATAATACAAGAAAAGATAGAGAAAGGGAAGGAAATTTATTATTTTATTAGAGGAGAAAATCAACTCAGCAAATAGACAAATTTGATATTTATCCAGCAGAAGGACGGGGAAGGATATGGAAAGCACAATTTTCCAGATTTTTTCATATCTATTCTGTTTTCATTTAGCGGACATATATTCTAATATTCAAATATAATTACTTAATAAAAGCGCTCACGCCAAATGTTGTCTATAATACTCTGATCTGCCAAAAGCCATAGGATACGTCTTCATCTAAGTCGGCCAAGTCTAGTAACATAATGATAAGCTAAATCATGTTTATATTAAACTGATGTCCCAGAATTCTTAAGATAAGTTCCCAGTATTGTGTTGGACAACATCTAGTGCAATGAATTACAGAAACTCTATAACTATTAGAAGAATTGACAGAAGACGTCTAGAGATATTCTGAGCCATACCACCGCGATACTTACGCACCGTTCTCTAATATTTGTAAATGCACAATTTTTCTTGCAAGTAGACCTCTTCAGCACGTCTTATAAATTTTGGGAAATCCTGTTGAAATAATCTATCATTGTTTGCTTGCATAAAATCCCTGATTCGGTGTAAGCGGTCACGTAAGAGTGCCAATTAAATCTCACAGTCAGTCAGTTGTATGTTTACGCAGAATAGACAACGTAAGCCATAAGCCATGAAAACATACCACTCGATTATATAACCACGAGTAGCCAACACTAAACATTATTAAAAATTGGCTACAAAACATCATGAAGTTTGCGCCACATACAAACGCTACTACCAGCTCATAATTAACATAGAACATTGACTCAGTGGATTTCACCATGCAATGCCAGTTAAACAACGTAAAGCATGGTCATTACCTAGATGGGTGACCGGTTGGAGATACCAGGTGATCTAATTTTGGATGTGCGGGAGCGGAAATTAGAGAACAATATTTAAATACCTGTCTGGTTTGATGTATTCATTTACGAGTAAATACCCTTTAGACAGGTATTAATCCACCTGTTCCCCTACTTAGTTATGGGTTAAATAGTATGACTTGTATCAGTGAAAATCATTATCTCAAAACCACTCTTACAATTTAAAAACATTTTCTGGCTTTAAATAATCAGTATAGGGTTGACAAGCCGTAAAAACAAATCAATCCACAGTTCAATGACCCCCAGTGAAGCGCCTTAGTATGTCTTCGGCTCCTATATCATGTGGAAATGAAACAATGAACTGATCGACTGCATATGCCATCGTACTTCCTGCATTTAAGATTAATGTAATTTAAGTCAATGTCGTTTATCTGTTACCATAGACAGTTCTATCCAAACGCCTGTTGTCACGATTACCAAGAAAGCGTATCCAACAAGTATGCTGTAAAAGGTGGGTGGCAAAACCTTCTGTCATATATTTCCAGTACGCACATGACTCAGTATAGAGAGGTACGTCAGATGTCTACACAGTTTCACAAATAGAATATCACATTTCTCTAGTTCCAACAGTGCCGGATTTACATATAGGCTTAGCACGCTGAAGACTAGGGCCACAAATTCTATGGGTCTTCCAGTCAAGGTGTATATTTTTTGACACTCTCATAGGCATTTTTTACTCATGCTGTTATAACGTATTGCAGTCTCTAAACAACACTTCAGTAATTTTAAACACCGGTCATCATCCTCAGCTTTACTCTAATCTATGAATTTAACTCTCTTCCTCTACCAGGGAGTATGCAGTATTTTGAGGGGCCTCAGAAGTGGGATAATCTAAGGCCTCTCTTCATCTAAATCCTGTCCTGGGTTCGGATTATCATGCCCCGTTCGATCTGCGATAATTCACGTCGCTTTGCCGTGAACAGACGAGGTAGAGTTCAGAAAGACTCACCAGATGTTAGAATTAAAATGATATAAGGCTCGAAGACAGCCGCTCGTGTTGAAAACATTCGGGTAATGTATATATCTGCAATACCTAATTCATCTCCTACCTAACCTCTACTTTCTACACAAGTATATATATATATATATATATATATATATATATATATATATATATATATATATATATATATATAAAAAAAAACACGCATACAGAACGCACATATCGCGTTTAATGTTCATCCCCAATTTCAAGTGAACTCGTATATATACAAAACCCATAGCTGAAGATGCTAGAAAAATGGTTGGTTTATTCTATCACGCTAGAAATTTTCTGACTCTTTCTGGCATGTATTATCTTCAGAAGAGTCAGATTAAAGTAGAGTATTGCTGTTATATCTGAGTTGCAGCCGTTCAACCCAGACTTTCAAGCGTTGATAGAATTCAAAATATATTACGTGTTTTTTTTTTTTTTTTTTTTTTTTGTGGAGTAATGTAGATAGATGTTAATTACGTTGGTGGGGTAATGTAGATAGATATTAATTAATTTAGTGGGTTAAAGTAGATAGATATTAACACCGGTGCAATGACAGTTATTAAAAACATTTATTAAATTTAGAAGTCAGAGACAATTGATAGGATCGAGATATATATATTAAAATATTTTGTATATATATATATATATATATATATATATATATATATATATATATATATATATATATATATATAAATAGATAGATATTTGGAGGTGTGAAATATAGCGTTATTTTAGTTTTCTAAATGGAGAAGAGCTAATGTTACATTTAAAGGTCAGCTTTCAAAATCGCGCTTGATAGATAGATAGATAGATAGATAGATATAGGTTAAATAATATATCTTATTTCTGGAGAAATCTTCCAGCCACACCGCTAAATCTTCCTCTTTTCCCTTGCCTAATTCACTTATTGTTTATTGACAGAAAACTAAGAATTCATGATTAACGATTTATCCCAATCTATTCCGAAAGTTAATAACTGATCTATTTCAATTTTATATATTTTCATTAAATTTAGAAATAGCTTAAGTATTTTTACCCATTAGCAGTAATATTCAAATATATGGTTTGGGAATGTAGGTTTAAATTAAATAAAAATTACTAACTATTATAAGGAAAAAAATAAAAATACATACATACATACATACATACATACATACATATATATATATATATATATATATATATATATATATATATATATATATATATATATATATATATAGTTCAGATTTGTATCCGTTGATATATAATCCAAGTGGATCCTAGTAATATCAAATATTAAAACTGATCCACAAAAAGTGTTCAATATATATATATATATATATATATATATATATATATATATATATATATATATAATTTTCCCAACAAAATCCAAAATTGTCTTATTTACGTGTATTAGGTGTTATATATATATATATATATATATATATATATATATATATATATATATATATATATATATATATATATATATATATATATATATATATATATATATATATATATATATATATAGATATAAAATATATATTTACTCATAATACAAAGAAAAAAAAATTTACTCAAGACAAAGATCCAACTTCGTTTTCGGTGCATTTTTGCACCAGTCGACATGCAACTAAATGCCGAAAAGGAAGTTGAATCTTTGTCATGGTTAGATTGTTTTATCCATATATATATATATATATATATATATATATATATATATATATATATATAGACGAAAACAACTTACTCAAGACAAAAATATATATATATATATATATATATATATATATATAATTACATAAATAAAAAAGTATGCTATGATAGATTGTTCTCTGTCCGTAAAAATAGTTACAGTCTGACAATATAAAATATTTGCTATGATATCTCGAGTCAGTTTAGACCCAGTTGGAGGAAAAGGCGAGAATAAGGAATCTATGTTAAATGTCAATGAATCCCTACAAATTCAGTTTTTTATATTCAATGACAGCACATTTCTATATATAAATATATACGAAGCACATGTGTTTTCAGCTAAATGATCTATTTGTGCACTCACACACACACACACACACACACACACACACACACACACACACAATCTTATACAACTATTCATATACACAAATAATGGCAAATATTTATTGTTTTCAACGTGTTATTTAGGTAGTTTGTCTTATACATCCAATTATGTTGTTTTATTTTTTCATTTGTTTCTATGCTTTTTGTAACCTTTTCGATTGTTCTAGATATTAATAATTTTCTTCCGTTTTTCTTCTTTCCTTAGATGTTTTTGTTGCTTTCAAATCTTTCTCTTCTTAAATTTCTTTTACTTAATTCTTTTTCTGTCCTTTTTCTACACAATGTCTTATCTCTTTCTCTTTTCCTTTCAATTTCTTTCATCGATATTTAATTCTTTTTATTTTATTTCATTCTGTTCTGCTTTTTCCGTTTTTTTTACTACCCTTTTTTGTTTTAGTTTTCCATTCTCTTTATCATATTTGTTCTTTCTTTTTACTTCTTTCGATTTCATCTCTGCTTTTGTCGTACTTTTTGTTATCGCCTTTCTTTTTTTCGTCACTATTTGCTTTGTTATTTAATTTTTGTTCGCTTTTTCATCTTTCTTCTTTTCTTTGTTAATCCTTCCTTTTTTTTTCCTTTCCACTTTTCCCGTCCATTCTCCTTTTATTCTGTTTCTTTCGTCTTTACTTCCTTATTTCTATTCAATTCATTTCTTTTTTATCACCCGCTTTTTTCTTTTCATTTTCCTTGTCTTTTTCTTTTTTCATTTCCTTCTTTCTTCTTTTTAAAGTTTAATATATCTTCTTTTTCTGTTTTTTTACTTGCTTATCCCTTTCTTTGTCCTTTTCTTTATGTATATTCCATTAATTTTCTGCTTCTATTCTTCTTGCCCCTCCATATTCTTTTATTTCATTGCTTTATTCTTTTTTTCGACTCTCACACGCAGTTGCCCTAAAAATCATTTTACTATAGCCTAGAATCAGTAGAAAGCGAGAAAAGAATAGGATTATTTGCAAGAGTTACATTTTAACTCTGAACGACTTGGGTATTAATTTCAGTTTCGACATGGCAAAAAATTGCCTTGATGCATCATTCTTTTCATTTTTGCCTATTCATATTGTATAACTCATCTTACATGCCGTGCAAGCCGAGTTATGGTGTCGTCCCATTTTTAGACAGGAATTGACGATTGAATGATCTACACATTATTTCTGTCTTTCTTTTTATGTGCCATGTCCTTTAAGGACGTAGGCGATCATGGCTTTCCACCTCTTTCTGTTCTTTGCAGCTCTCAACAAGTGCCTTCCCTCTGCTTCCTCCTCCAGATCTCGTTCTGTCATCCATTTGCTTAAGTCCGCCAGAAATGCCACGCGTTGTTTTCCCTTGTCTCTCTTTCCTTCTATTCGACCCATGAGTATCAGCTTCTCCTTCCTCATTATTTGTCCCAGAGTAAGAGGCAGTGACTTAACAATAAAATAAAACTTTAGGTCTTTTTCTCTGATTTTTTAAAATAATAAACAACAACAACATCAACAACAACAACATCAACAACAACAATAATAATAATAATAATAATAATAATAATAATAATAATAATAAACTGATTCAAGTTGCTTTTCATAATGCCAATGCTTCGGTCGTTGCTATCAATTATGAGAGATGACAGCAAAAAGCCAAATGCATAGCAACTGATATTTTGTGATTATAACAACCAAATTAAAAACATTAAACCAGGGAATCGGTGTATAATCCTGTTTTAGATCTAATTTCTTGCAATGGTTAACTAGAAAATAAGATTTTAGATGTTTTTGATGTAAATGTTCCTTATCCAATAGATTTACGTCCGTGAAAGGTTAATAACGGTTTTATATAAATCATTTTGTCTTAGTAACTCTGTAGTCATGAAAAGAATTGTCTGTATATATTTTATCGCTCCGACGGGAGAAATAATTTCTTGTTTAGTACAATTTGAATTAGAACACAACAAAACTATTGTCACTTGACATCTATAGCCGTAGAAATGTCTTTTTAGTAATGTTCCTTAATATAAGTTTTAAGAGCTATTTATTGTAGATTCTTTGTTAATATGTGTGATATGAATTTAAAAGTAGGAAGTATGAAATGAAGATAGATAGCAATTGACCCTTGAATAGTTTCGTATCTTCCATATCCTCAAGTGGTTCCAACGGTAGCATTCAGCAAAGCATCTAAACAGGAACTTATTCAGTGGTTCTTGTGAAAAAAATCTCTGTGGAACTTCCTCTTTACAAATGAAATACGGGGGGGGGAATGTGAATCTATACTGTGACGCAGAGTGTTTTGTTTACGTGTTCTAATGCAAGAATATGTATATAAATGTTTATATTTTATTCAACATAATTTAGAAAACTTCTATGTTTTGAAAGGAATGATCATATTTCCAGCGAGAGGAAGATGGCGATCATTGTGAACTGTTACAATAAGTCATTATACAGCTGAATGGAATTTACTTCAGGGGCTTATAAGTCAATCATTGATTTGAGAAGAAATCATGTTTCCAACGAAATAAGTCGCTTAGAGAGTTTGGTTGGTTTTCTCTTTCAAAGTTAACAAGTGATACAGACGCCGTATTGATGACATCGTATGTAAGGTAATTTTGAAAGAGTCCTTTCTATCATCTTATCACGCCAGTAGTAATGTGTCTAGAATTAGTGAAGGGCGTAGAGGTAATTGATTTCATGGTTTTATCCCAAGGGCATTGATTATAGAAGTAGCCTTTATTGAAATCTAATTTCAGTTGACCCTTTCTAAATCTCGAGTTGATAACCTCCGGACGAGTTTCTTGAAATGATAAATGTTATCACAAATGTCGTTTAATATTGGTTTATTGTAACAGTATAGTCTTCTTGAAATCTGATGGGAGTCTTTAATTCACAAAATGAAATCACGTCCAATAACAAGTGTTTTCATGTTTTTTGCATCTAAAATCAATAAATGACTAATGCAAACTTCACACAAATTACAAGAATCATCACTAGCGAAAGGCTTTGCTGTTATTTATATTATTTAAATTCAGACTCATTTTTGCTCTTACGAACACAAAGTTTCGATCGTGGGACTCTCAGGCCCTTTCTGGTGTCTGCCGATCCGGATAAGCTTCAGTAAATTTCAAGCAGAAATTCATGATGTTGTTTGTTTAAGGTCGGTTGCTTATATCCAAGGATAACTCGATTTGTTCTTAATTATTACTTCTCATCTATTGCTCTGTACTACCTGGCCCAGGGATTGAACTCACAATTCTAAATCTGTTCTAGTGTCCCAGGATTTGAAATCACATTTCTAAATCAGTACTACCCTGCTCGGGGATTGAAATCACAATTCCAAATCTGTACTACCCGACCCAGGCATTGAAATCACAATTCTAAATCTGTACTCCCCGGCGCAGGGATTGAAATCGCAATTCGGATGCCACTATTCATGAACCCATACTTTATTCCACACGTCTAGAAAATTGTGGCATGCATATTCTAAATTTATCTGAATGTATTTTAACTATCACAGTTAGAGAACTGCTTTACACGTTTAAACAAGAACCCGCATTTTGAAATCGTGACGGCGATGGTAATAAATTAATTATATTTCTGAGAAGGTTCTTGCAAAAGTCACGAATGATTTTGTTTCGTTATGAGTTTTGTGACAATCTTTATTCTCTATCACACATTTTGAGGGAATATATTCTAAGCAAAATTTTAAAGTGTTGTGGTACATTTATCAGGCAAAAAAAGGAGAAAACAACCGCTAAGATAAAAGCAGAAGAAAAGATATATAATACTGTGAAGTACATAAAGAGTCTTTGTTAAAACTTAATGGAAATCAGCGGACAGTTCAGCTACAGACACAATACTGGACAACATATCGCCTTAAGTTGCTTGGATATTGATACAACTGAAACTTTTTAATCACAAAAGCAAAAAAGACGAGGAACCTAAAATATTGGGTTGGTGCATAATTATCAGGCGTTTTTTAAACAATATTTATTATTAAAGAAGAAACATAATAATTCAACAATAACATTTTGAAATGGTTATTCCAGAGCGTATGATTATCGACACGCTTTGGTATAACCTAAAAATAATATATTTTTTTTATTAAAAAAGTAAACAAAACAGCAGTTTTTATTAACAAATAACTCGTCTACAAAAAACGCCTGATAATTATGCATCAAAGCAATATTATGTGTTATAATCGGAAATTCTCTCAAAATTCCAGTAAATTCCGGCTCACTAAAAGTTTGAGTTTTAATGAAACTATAGTACAACCTGTCAACATGAAACTATTCAGATATTATTATTTTCTTACTTATTTTTTGGATCAATGATATTTTTCTTATTTTTTTGACAATGAATATTCCGCTAGCAATATTGTTCGACTGGTAAGTATTAGTGTACTGTGACTAATAAGAGAGTTAAAGTAACAGGAAATAGATAATGTACCTATCCTTAAATCTATAGTAATTTAAATGAAAATTACTAGACCAAAAACAGAGAGAAAGCAAGAGGATACGAGTCGTGTTGAAACAGAGTTAATATAAAACAAATGAAATTGTTAATTTTACTCAAAAAATAAAATTCATATACGAAGTTTATAACTGTTTTTCTTGAGTAGATCATAAACGTATATATATAGGCTACTATAAGTTCATTTAATAGCTCTCTGTGCAAAAGACTTTAGTATGTGTGTGAATAAATTGTTTAAGTCATAGTCTTCATATCTTTTTATTTGTGAAGATTGTCCGAGTTATATAGTAGCATTCATAAATTGGTGCGAGACAGCGTGAAAGGGCTTAGTTGAAACAAAGCGATTCAACAGGGCTAATGTTTTCGGACGTTTAGAATCGTCTTCTAGAGTGAAATCAGTTGGGTTATATTCCGAACACACCGGGGCAGTTATGACTAGACTTAAAGTTACTTGTTACTATTTGAATATTTTCTAATACAACCGGAACTTGCGGTGCTCACGCGTAGAAAACACATATATGCATTTCTCTCATCAGCTAAGTTTCCTGCGAAAGGATTTTTGATTGGAATAATAAATAAATGCAACTATAAATAATATCTACAACAAAGAAAGTTTTATCTGAAGGAGACACGAGAATGAAATGCTGGAAATATTCCTAAAATAAACAAAGTAAATGATTCTCTGAAAACAGTCAACTAATGAATGTAATGTTATCTATTAACGTGTACTGCAAGTAAAATAATTTATTTTAATTTGCATTATGTATATATAAGGGAATTTTCAATATTACATCTAAATAATTAATCACAATTTAAGGATTTTAATTGTTTCTACCTATTAAATTTTTGATTTCTTACTGTTGATTTATCTATACGAAACTAATAAGCGAGAAAAAATATTTCTATTTTAGGTTCACATTGTAATATATTTTTCAATTTATTTCGCCCAGTGTCATAACCACAGGGCTTTGATCGCTATGCCATCTCCTGCAACACTTGTTCATACAAACACGTGTCAAGATAGTAACCCAAATCATATCATTCAGTTTTTATCCTATGGAGAATACAATTCATACGATCTTGTATTTACTATAACAATGATGAATGAGTCATTTTTTTGTTTCTTGACAACATTGTTCACAACGGTGATTGGTGTCATATTTTTCCTCGTCGTCTCTTCTCATGAAAAAAAAATATTCAGTTTTTTTCATAACTTGTTATGTCGTTGAAATTTTTCCTTCGACTTATCTACTCTTCTTTCTTTCTTTCTTTCTTTCTTTCTTTCTCTTTCTCTCGCACTGCTATTTAAATTTACCTTCCTTCTTTACTACATGTTTACCAATAAAAGGCTTGTGAGTCGCTCAAGGTACAGGGTTACTAAATGAGATTGATGTAAAATTGGGAAGGGAGAAATAAGTGCAGATTAATGATAGTAATTGGGTAATTGTTGCCGCTAGCC